GTCTTGGAGCCGGCCCGCATTGGCTCTGTCAGACATAGAGGAAGCTTCTAGCAGGGTCTCACAGAAGCCACCACTGCAGGCTCCCCCCACCACTACCAAAACCTTGCCATGTAAACCTAAGGCATTCCACCCCTTGCCACTGTGAATTAAATACATAATAATTATCATTAAAATACACATTCATCACACAATCTACAGTCTTCACAAACTTCACTTACATCAGCAAGAGAACGCCCTGCACCAAAATCAAAATAACATCATCACAACACTCACAGAAGTGGAGAATATACACACACTCCCTGCCTCATCCCTTCATCACAATTACAACAGAAATTCCCAGCAATTATTATGCTTTCCACTCTTCAGCCACGTTCACCCACCAAGCCGCTCTATCACAGAAGGTACAAAAAAGGGTTCGCTGACAAAGAACAGGGAGATCACTCAGCAATTACCATCACAGGCAAAACAGGCTTGACTTGGGGAAATTAATTTATTGTCAGTTAAACAGAGTAGGAGAATGAAAAATAAGAACAAATCTTAAAAACACTTCCCCCTACTTCTCCCTTCTTCCCCAGATCAACTTGATACACGACAACTCTTCCTCCTTCCCCCGAGTGGTGCAGGGGGGATGGAGAATGGGATATGTGGGCCATTGATAACACTTGTTCTCAGCCGCTCCTTCCTCCTCACACCCTTCCCCTGCTCCAGCATGGGGTCCCACCCATGGTTGCGGTCCTCCATAAACTTCTCCAGTGTGTGTCCTTCCTGTGGGCTGCAGTTCTTCATGACCTGCTCCAGTGTGGGTACCCCACAGGTCACAGTGCCTGCCAGAAGACTTGTTCCTCCGTGGGCCATGAGCTTGCTCCAGAAGAGGCTCTCCACAGACTTGTCCTGGTTTCAGCTGGGTTGGAGTTAATTTTATTCCTAGGAGCTGGTACGGTGCTGTGTTTGGGATTTAGTGTGAGAAGAATGTTGGTAACACACTGATGTTTAGCTGTTCCTAAAGAGTGCTTACACTAAGTCAAGGGCTTTCCAGCTTCTCATGCTCTACCGACTGAGAAGGCTGAAGATGCACAAGAAGCTGGGAGGGGGCACAGCCAGGACAGCTGACCTCAACTGGCCAAAGGGACATTCCATACCAGATGATGTCATGTTCAATATACAAACTAGGAGAAAGCTGGCCAGGGGGGCGCTGCTCAGCAATTGGCTAGGCATCAGTCAGCGGGTGGTGAGCAATTGCATTGTTCATCACTTTAGTTCTTATATTCTTTTCTCATTATGATTATGATTATTATATTTTATTTCAATTTTTAAACTGTTCTTAACCCATGAGTTTTTTTACTTTTACTCTTCTAGTTCTCTCGCCTGTCAGGGAGTCGTGGGATGGTATGAGCAGCAGAAAAGACCATGGCTTTGTGTAAGCATGACTCAGATATAGCTGAAACATCCCTGTGTTGTCAGCACTGTTTCCAGCACCAATCCAAAACACAGCCCCATAATAGCTACTATGAAGAAAATTAACTCCATCCCAGCCAAAATCAGCACAGTGTGTCGGGCAGATTAACGAACGACCTTGACATCAGTGTAGGCAGGGTGCTGCTGGCGAGCCCCCAGAGGCAGAGCTGAAGCTGGCGGGTGTGTTTGCATCCAGCGCCACTGCTATCTCTGCATCGCTGTGGTGCTGAAGGTGCCAAATTTGTGGTTATGAGTTAAGAAAGGCATTTTCCAGCTCTTGACACAGGCTGAAAAGTTCATATGGTTTCTACGGTGCCTAAGGTTTGCTAGGCTGCAAACCATGACCCTGCTCTAACTGGGAGGGTTTGGGTCTGCAGTGCCTGTAAGAAGTTTTCTGCTGAGGCTCTGTCCAGAAAAACACAGGTCATGTTTATCTCATGCTGCTACTCACATTTTCCCTCCACCGTAACACTGTTAATCCTGCCTGAGAGGGGGAGGAGTGGGCAGGCAGGAGCAGGGCTGGTGGCCAATTTGCCTTGTTCCTGGGCTTCCTGCTGCTATGCAGGACACAGCCAGCGTCTCCTGACAGGGTGTTTGGTTTTGTTTCTCCCCTGCACACAAGATGCCAGCAGCCTGTGCCACTGCCGTCACTGATGGCCGCTGACGTCTTGTCTCCTCTGTTCAGTGCTTCTCCCGTAGGAAGAGCCTGGGGTGGAGATCAGTGGGCTGCAAGCAGAGGTGCCCTTTGGCATCTCGGGGGACAAAGCCTGACCCCAGGAAGCCTTGGGAAGACACCCGTGCCATGAGTCTAAGGAGCAGGGAGGGCTCCGAGGGGGCTTTGTGCTGCTGTGTCTGTGCCAGCCAGCGCAGGCACCAGAGGATGTCCTGCCTCAGGCTCGGGGCAAAACTCCTCTCTTGCTCAGGCTCACTGAAACGCCTCCCATGAGCACGACGTCTGTGGTGTGAGCATCCCCGTGTCACCCTCAGTCCCAGCTACCGCGTGGGGTGGCTTGTGAGAGGCTCACCCTGCTGCGCTGGGAGATGCCTGGGCATTTCAGAGCTGCCCAGCAGCCTGGGTGCTGCTGGGGCTGCCTGTTCCTTGTGCTCGGGCAGCCCGTCATCTCTGTTTGGGAGATGAGAGGTACGCAACTGCCTAAGGGGACCAATTCCTGTTTGGTTGCCACCTCTTTTTCCACATTGCATGATTCCTGATTAATGTGTTAACATTACTTAATTGCTGGGTAATGAAATTCCTCTGCCACCAACACTGACAGAGGTGTGAGTGCCCTTTTAAATCCGCAAATGGATAATGGACATCCCACTTCAACACTGCCAGTAGCTCCTATGACAATGGAGTTCGAGTCTGGTTTTGGTTTCTGGTTTCGGCTCTTGCAAGAGTTAATACCCATCAGAGCTTGGCTGTCAGTCAGACTGTCATACACATGTGGCTTGACTCGCACATAGAACTTTGACCCAATATCACACTGCCCACCATGATGGCCAAAGCAAGCCACCCACTGCCACATGTGGTATATTTCCCCACCACCCACCACCCCCCCCAGACATCTTCACTGAAAATCCTTGGAGCAGAGGAGAGGCAGCGCGGCTTCCTGCCTCCCAGCCACAGAGACTGCAGAGCAGGGGCTGTAGGCGGGATGGGGGCACCCAGGTGAGGGACAGGGGCACTTCCCAGACACAGTGGGGGAAATTGCAATTCTCTTCCACTGACGTTCATGTAAATGCTCAAAGTGAAAAAGCATACTGATTATTCAGAAGATAAACCTGATATGTTTCCGTTTCTCTAAGTGTCAAGTACAGAGGCTAAACTCATTGGCTTGGGGTTTTACACATCTTTAATATAACAGGTATCACACAGAGGAAAAAGCATTTTGTGACTGCACTGCTACGGTGAGGACCTTGCCTGTGACTTGGCATTGCAGCATAAGCTAAGGTAAGTACTGCTGACATGTATGTGTGAGGCTGTGCCCGCTTCTTAAATGCCTGCGATATAAAGACCTTTTTTTGGCACTTTTCAGACACAGCGTTGGATTATGGAGGGGAACTTGTCATACCTGCTGGACAGAGGCAGCTCCGAGGACACGGTGGTGAGTCACTCCCGGCGGGGTTGCTGCCCTGCAAGTCGAGGCCAGCAGCACATCCGAGGGGTCCGGTTTTGCCTACGGAGACACATCGTACTGTCAGGGACAGTGCGGGTTTAGAAGAAACCAGTGTGATTGTTGCTCTCTGAAAAAACAAAACAAAACAAAACCAAAACCAAACCATGGAGTGAAAATATCTTTGGCTCATGAGACCCTGCTTGTGTTTGTAGTCTATGCTGGAGGGCAGGGGTAGTGCTAGGAGTGTCCTATGGAGGACATCCCGACCAGCAGATGTGCTGCCACCCACCTTCAGCTGTTTGCTGTCACAGGTGCTGCCCAGGGATGCAATGGTTACTTCTGGGGTGCTGCGAGGGGCTGGGGAGCAGGGAAGGGGCACCTCGCTGTTGTTGCTGCTGGTGCATCCTGACAGGTGCCAGGAGAGCAGAGCTGCTGGTATTGAAAGGAAAACCAGCCATCCCTGTTAGCAGAGTAAAGTCTCAGTGGGCATGAGCTGCTGGCAGCAGCAGTTTGTGTTGGCACAGTCCAAGAGAGCAAACCTCCTGCTGGGGAGGAGGGAGGAAGGCATAGAAAGCCCCCTCAGCTCTTTGGCAAGTCTCCCCTTGGGCCAGAGTTGCCATTGCTGATCTCACCTGAGGGTAAGAGAGCATAACCTGGGGGTCCCCATGTGCAGCACCCACTGGTAATCTGTATGTGCTGGTGCTTTTAGGGCTGAAAACCTGCTTCACCTGTGAAGGAATCCTCTGCAAAAGTAACTTGTCCCATGAAGGGCTATTTCTGGCACTCAGCTAACTGGGCACCCCGCATAGAGCCAGTAGGGGTATACTGGTAACCTCTGGTTTACCACCACAGCTGAGTGTTCCTTGATCTCCTCTGCTCAGCTGGTGCAACAACCTCATCATGGATATTGCAGGGGAGGACTGGTCACTCGTGTTCCTTCCTCATTTGTATCCTTCAACATAGGCACAGCTGTTTTGTCCTCATGTGGCTTGGTGTGAGATGACTTTTGTCTAGTATATTTACTAAGAGAGTAATTTGGGATTTGGGCCTTATGAACTTCATTGTCCATGAACAGGTGGATTACATGTCACCGACAGCGAGCTCCTCCGCAGCCTATGAATACTCCTTCTACCCAGAACTGGACATCAGCTGTGATTTTGAAAATATTCCGGCATTTGCGTCTACCTTTTTTCCAGTGCTGTACTCCCTACTGTTCATGATCGGCCTCGTGGGAAATGCTTTGGTCATCTGGGTCCTAACAGTCTTCAAGAAAGTCAGGGCCATGACTGATGTGTATCTGTTGAACCTCGCCATCGCTGACCTACTCTTTGTTTTCTCCCTCCCCTTCTTGGTTCAGTACTCCATCGTGAGCCAGTGGACTTTTGGAAATGCCATGTGTAAAATCATCAGCTCAGCTTACTTCATTGGTTTCTACAGCAGCGCTTTCTTCATAACCATCATGAGCGTCGACAGGTACTTGGCCATTGTGCGGTCTGTCTACGCTCTACGGGTCCGGACGACTGCCCATGGGGTTATCACCAGCCTGGTCCTTTGGGTAGTGGCCATCTTAGCGTCAACACCAGACTTGATTTTCTTCCAGGAAATGAATTACCACAACCAGACTAAGTGCATCCCTCACTATCCTGACAGCAACAATGGCTGGAAGACTTTCAGTAATTTTGAGGTCAATGCTCTGGGGTGGCTGATCCCCGTTGGTGTCCTCATTTTCTGCTACTACAGCATCTTGAAAAACCTGCAGAAGTGCCAAACTCAGAAGAAGTACAAAGCAATGAAACTGGTTTTTATTGTCGTCATTGTGTTCTTCCTCTTCTGGACCCCCGTCAACATTGTGCTTTTTCTGGATTCTCTGCGGAACATGTACATCATCGACGACTGCCACACAAGCCAAAGGCTAGACCTAGCCATGGAGCTGGCCGAGGCACTCTCCTTCGTCCACTGCTGCCTCAACCCCATCATCTATGCCTTCGTGGGTGAGAAGTTCAAGAAGCATCTCTGGGAAGCTTTCAGAAAATACGCATGCTTTCTGTTGATCTGCAAGGACTACAGTGCTTTCAGTGGGCGCAGCCTGGACAAGCACTCCTCTCTGCACACGATGTCCTCACAGTCATCTTTTGTCGGCACTGTCTTATAGAGCTACATGTCAAAACCTTTCCTCCTGAACAGGTGACCTGAGGTTGAGAAATCCTCCCGGAAGGGCATCCACAGGGATGCCCTGTTTGGGCAACCTTTTAGGACAGGAAAATTGGAATTGGCTGCTTGAGCTTGCTTTTATCATGGTTGCCTTTGTGGTCCTTTTTTCATCTTTTTTAGCACCTTCCTCCATTTCCCTTGGCATGTCCTGCCCTGCCTGCTTTGTGAAAGGGAGGTCAAAATCATCAGCAGACTCCCATACTGCCCAAGCAGCTTGTAGAGGTGCCTTAAAAACATTTCTTCCCCCACCCCAGATTCAGTACCGGAAGGTACTGTTTATGTTCCTGAACGTGGGACACTTGGCCGCTCCTTCCCTCGTCTCAGCGGTGTGGGTTGGCTTCGTAGGCAAGGATGGGGCTCACAGCAGGAGCAGGAACCTGCTCTTTGGAGGGAACCAGTGCCCAAGTTAAAGGCCTTATGCCAGGGCCTTGACAGATCTGAATAAGCCTTCCAGTGCAGAAAGAGTGAATAATTAAATAAGCAACAAAGAAATAAATGCTATGCATGTGTTTTGTTAAAATCAGCGTGGAGCAATAGCTAGGTATGGTTATGATCCTGACTCTCCGTCTGTTACCAGGGCCTGCAGCTCCTGGACTGGAAGGGTTTAGAAATCGTAGCCTAGAAATGACGCTGTGGGTACCAAGAAAAAACCTTTATAGCAATGAGCAAGTGCCTTAGGGATGAGTGGAGAAAGAGTTACCAGGAAAAAAAGGCTGAAGAGTGGAAAAAGTACTGAGTGTGAGCTGAGAGAGTGGTAAGTCATACGTCAAAGCTTCCTGTGGTCCCGCTGGCTGGTAAGCCACGGGCCAGGGCAGTGGCTGCTCTCAGCAGAGCCCTGACCCGCTGGCCGAGGGGCTGGTTGTTCTGCGGATGAAGAGAGACACGAGCAGGGGGAGTACACCAAGCATCCTGTAATTCAGGTGGTACCTAAAGGGGATAGCACCAGCTGGACTGAGTGGACAGAGGTTCCAGAGATGCCTAAAACCCAGACGATGCTCTCACTTCCCTACAAGGGAACTGTTTGAACACTTGAAGCAACTGTCCTGTAGTGATAGGACAAGGGGTAACGGGTTTAAATTGAAAGTGGGGAGGTTTAGATTAGATATCAGGAAGAAGTTCTTCCCAGAGAGGGTGGGGAGGCACTGGGACAGATTGCCCAGAGAAGCTGTGGATGCCCCATCCCTGGAAGTGTTCAAGGCCAGGCTGGATGAGGCTTAGAGCAACCTGGTCTAGTGGAAGGTGTCCCTGCCCATGTCAGGGGGTTGGAACTAGATGGCCTGTAAGGTCCCTTCCAACCCAAACCATTCTGTGATTCTGTGATTCTATGATGTGCCAGTATGGTCGCTGCTCCTAAGCATAAGCCTGGGGTTGACCTCCCAGTCACTGTTCCAACTTGGTGATTGTGAATGGTTACCCATACATACACATATATATACACTTGCAGATGCGTGTATCTATACATGAATATATACATATACATGCATATATATGTATATATCTTTTTCATATATACAAATATTGATAGATAAATACAATGGTGTTCTGAAGCTTTTAGTCCTGATCTACTTCTCCCTACAAGATATGAACATATTTGAAGTTTTATAATAAAGATACTGCGTGCAGTGTAATTGCAGAATCCTTGCACCTGAGAACCCTCTTTCATTGTTAATTCTCCCAGCTTGTGCATTTCCTTCTGTCCTGGGCAGTTCTACAGACTGACAATCCCTCCGGCTGCCTCTTCTCCCACTCCTCTCCCTCCCTTGCTCCCTCTTCCTCCTCCCCTGGGAAGAAGAAGCAGGGAGTAGATTATTTTTTAATCTAGAAATGTAATTTCCTGTAAGTCTCTGCCCTTGCAGTGTTTCCACACTTACTGAGTACCCTTGGGCTTACTTCCTAGAGTAGAGCAGAACAAAACACAAAATAAAGTTCTTTTAAATCATGGATCTCCCTCGGATAGGATTTGCTGTTTTAACGTGTGCTTGTATTTGCCATCTCCAAGGTACAATCTTTTGCAAGAGCGGGCCACCAACAGAAGGTGTGTCAGAAATACACGCTGCCTCAGGTGGGCCATGACACACATTCTCCAATTCGTCACGCCAAGACTGTGACCAGAGGAGAAGGTGCAGCCGCTGCCTAGGTCCCAGCAGCGGGATCGCAGACATGAGCAACAGTGCACCTCCTGCCTCCCCACCCTTGGGAAACCAGCCTCTTCTATCGTATATGCAAACTCTCTGGCGCTCTAGAAGGGGATTCACGAGTTCAGGACGAAGCCAAAGGGCAGTGGGCAGCACCAGCTGTCTCCCCTGCAGATCCACAGCCCGAGTCCTCTAGATCTGACCTCGCTCAGCTGAAGCACAACAGGTGGGGAGGATTCCTGCAGCCCCATCCTGCGGCCCCTGTGTGAGCGCTTTGGGACAGGTGCTGGAGCCCATTTGCCCAAGCTGGCAAGAGGATGGCCTTTCCCTGGCGCTGCGGAGTGTCTCTGCCAGGGGATATCTCCTTCTTTTCAGGGGTTTCACTGATTGCTGTTGTGTAGCTGTTGGAGGGAGGCTATGACCCAGGGCTTCCCCACGTGGGCTGGGAGGGTTGCATGAATGTGCAGAGCCTCCTTTGCAAGGTCTTTCACTTCTCTAGTTCTCACTAGAGCCCAGAGGCATCTTCCCCTTCTGCTGCCCTAGCACTGCTTGCAAACCCTTGCAGCGGGGAGGCAGGAGATGCTTTCTGCAGCTCAAAGGATTTCCTGCCAGAGGCAGCTGCCTTCCTCCATCGCAGCACCAGCACCAGGACCCTCGAGCTGGACCTGACCACAGCTTCTCCTTGCAGCCCGACTGCTTTGTGCTGCTAGTGCTGCCTTCCTGTTCGGAAGGAGAAGGTGACACCCACATCTGGAGGCTGCATGTCTGGCAGGACTTGCCCTGTGTCACTGCAGGCAGTCAGGAGCATCCCTGCAGGCCTGGGAGCTCCTCTCCTGTGTGAAGTGACAACCCTGGGAGCAGTCTGCTGCCCTGTGGGTGTCTGTGAGGGCTCTGGAGCACAGGAGAGCAGGAGTCATCTTCCTGCGTCTGGGCAAGCTGCTGGGCAGCTTGAGGGTAATACCAAATTTTAGGGTAATCTCAAGACCTGGGAGCACAAGAAGCGCCCAGCTGCTAAGGCTAGATCACCCTGCACAGACCCGGTGCCTGTTCACCTGTTTTCTTAAAAAGTACCCACCACACTAGTTATTGGTCCTGCTCGTATCTTCTATTTAGCTTTATATCCTGAGTTCGCTTCTCCGTTTTGCTGAGATGATGTAGGTTAAGGGGGATTCAGGATGGTGTTGGCACATTAAATAGTCAGATAGTCTCTTGTCCCGGCTTCAGCGTGTCACCTTAAAACAGAGACCAGAGTAATTGTTACCTACATTCAAGCTTCAGACTAAAATCCATACTTGTTTTCTTTTGATTTATTGGTGTTATTTGCACCAGAAGTTCCCTTGTACAGAGGCTTTGTCTCATGCCACCCATGATGCTCTGGAGGTTCGGATGGAAAGGCGTTGACAGTCTGGAACATTGCAGTGGCAGCAGCGGGGCTCATCTTGCACAGACGTCACGCACTGCACTGTGCAAATCTGTGCAGCACTTGTAGAGAGCAAAAGAGTGTGTTTAAGGACCCACAATGTTGAACTACACCAGCAAAAAGTGGGATAGACGAGGACATGATAGCTTATGGTGTTGCTAGTTCCCTGGATTCTTCCACATCTCTCAGCTCTGAGCTGCAGGGCTGCCACTTAGCACAGGGAATGACAGTCTCAGCATCTTGTTCCAAAGCAGCACCCCAGAGGATGAAAGTAGACCATATCTGCTCATGGAGACAACACTAATTAAATCCTTGGCAGAACCTCTGGCTTTCAAGTTGCTCGTTCAAGCCACTGAGTGCAGTCTGGAGATGAGGATGGGAACTTCTGACTTGATACTTTCTGGAGGAGTCCTCCCAGGCGGCAGCGCAGCTCTGCCTCTTTCTGCCGCGGTAACATCAGCTGCACGGGGAGGTCAGAGCCAGTCACAGGTCTTCGATGGGAAAAAAAGAAAGTGTATTTGTGTCCTGCACCTCTCTTGGCTGAAAGATGCTTCTGTGCAGGGATGGGTCTGCAGTTTTCTTTTTGCTAAGATGATGCAGGTTAGAGAGGATGCACAAAACTTCCAAGCACAAAACTCCCTAAGGCCCTGATAATTGTATCGTGTCCAGGATAATCCTGTTTTATTTTCAGCCTCTTGAAAACACTGGATTAAAACCAGTTATGAAGCACTATGGAAATTACTAACTATGCCAGGAGAAGATCCAGAAAGGATCACGACACAAGAAAATAAACATTGACTTTAGGTATTCTGTCCAGATGTAAAATAGTTTGGGAAATTGAAAAATAATGATATCCTTAGTCTGAATATGTCAGCTCTAACTGTAACATGCGGGCTGGCATGCGGTTTTGGTTAATATTTGTAACAAGTAATGCTGGCCAGAGCAAAGCTGCTGCTGTACTACGTCAGTTTTGACGCAGTGCTTCTGGCGTTGTGCTTATGCATGTCCGTGCGCTTCTGCATCAATCTGTGTTTCTGATGACTCAGCTGAAATGCCCAAAGGTACAGAGCCAGGTCACAGAAATCCCCTCCCCAGAATAGCAGTGGCGTGATTTGGGTTTCCACAGCCTCTACTGACGAGCACATCTGCTGGGGCCTCATCCGGACCCAACGCCGCTCGTCTCACGTCCCACCAGGACTGTCCATGAGGCTCTGGTGTGCTTTCCAGCAGTCACTGCAGCCAGTGTAACACTGGCTTACCATCTAGGATGAGACACATGCAAGAGAAGAGTACTGCCAAGCAAACATCCCAATCTGCTGTGTTACCCCAGTAAATTCCGGCTTTTCTCACCATACTCTGGTGAATTCCCACTAACAATGAATGTGC